CATATATTTGTCAGCGTATTCACTGGAATAAGAGCTATATCACTTTTAACTGTCACTGAGTAGGTTGGTTTTGTAAAAACTGTAAAAATCAGGGGTGCCTGGGTGGCTCAGTCAGTTAAGCCTCTGACTTCAGCTCAGGTCATGACCTCATGGTTCATGTTTGAACCCCACATCGAGCTCTGTGCTGACAGCTCAGAGCCTGGAGCCTGCTTTGGATTCTGTCTTCCCCTCTCTCTTTTCCCCCCGCCACCCGCTCATGCTCTGTCTCTCTCTCAAAAATAAACATTAAAAAAAATTTTTTAAAGGTATAGGAGGGCAAAGACAGGGTAGAAAAAAATCCAGCTCTGATCTTTAGTTTTTTAAATTGTCTTTAATGTTTATTTATTTTAGAGAGAGAAGGAGGGAAGGTGAAAGGGGGAGGGGCAGAGAGAGAGGAAGACACAGAATCCAAAGCAGGCTCCAGGCTCTGAGCTGTCAGCACAGAGCCTGATGCAGGGTTAAAATTCATGAACCATGAGGTCATGACCTGAGCTAAAGTCACTTAACTGACTGAGCCACCCAGGTGCCCCATGCCCTCCTGTATCTTCATGAACATAGCAGTGAAACAGTACTTGAGTGAGACATGTTTTGGTATATTTGTGTCATTGTTTGGCCAATATTCCTGTTTCCTTTCCCCTCCGTGGAAAAGAGTAAGGGAACCTCTTGCCCCACTGATGTTGGGCTTGACCTCATGGCTTACTTTGGCTGATGAGATGTGAAGAAACATAATGTATACCATGTCTGAACATAAGCATTGTCCATGGTCGTGTTCCTTTCTCTTCAATGAGAACAGCATGCACCAGGTGCTCTTTGTGCCTAGGACCCTGAATGGTAAGGCACACAGAGCAGACCTGAACCTGATCCACAGTCTAGACCATTGTTAGGTATGATCCTTCTATATCAGATTTGTTGAGGGTTTTATGATGAAAGGATGTTGTATTTTTTTAAATGCTTTTTCTGCATCTATTGAGATGATCATCATATGATCTTTATCTTTCATTCTGTTAATGTGATGTATCTCATTGATTTAAGTATGTTGAACCATCTTGATTCCCAGTGATAATTTCTACTTGGTCATGGTATATAATTTTTTAAATGAGTTCTTGAATTCAGTTTGCTAATATTTGTTGAGAACTTGTGCCTGTCTTTTCAGAAGGTCCATAGTTTTCTACCCATGTAGCATCATTATCTAGCTTTGGCATCACAGTAATGCTGGCCTCATACAATCAGTTTAGAAGTGTTTCCTGCTCTTATATTTTTTGGAAAAAAGTGAAAAGTATTAGCAGTAACTCTTTAAATATTTGGTAGAATTCCCAGTTAAGTAAGACATCTGGTCATGGGGTTTCATGAATCAGGAAGCTTTTGATAACTGATTCAATCTCTTTATGTGTGCTTAGATTTTCTTTTTCTGTGTCTTTAGGAAATTATCCAGTTCTTCTAGGTTATCTAATTTGTTGGCATATAATTATTCATAGTAGTCTCTTATCCTATTTATTTTGATAGTGTCTGTTGTAATTTCTTTTTTGAGTCTTCTGTCTCATTCTCACTTAAGAGTTGTAAATTTTGTTAATCTTCGCAAAAAAAACAGCTCGTAGTTTCGTTACTCTTTTCTATTGCTTTTCTGGTTTCCATTTGATCTTTGATCTTTATTATTTGATCTTTATTATTTCCTTCCTTCTGCTAACTTTAAGCTTAATTTGTTCTTTTTCCAGTTTCTTGAGGTATAAAGTTAGGCTGTTTATATATGACCTTTCTCATTTTCATTTTTTAATATGTGCATCTATCATCTATAAACTTGTCTCTGAACTAGTTTTGAAGCATTCCGTTGGTTTGGGTGTGTTGTGTTTCCATTTTCATTTGTTTTGAGACATTCTTTGATTTCCTTTGTTTTTTAATGGGGTATAATTGACATGTAACATATTAGCTTCAGGTGTACAGTGTAAAGATTTTATATTTATATATATTGTGGAATAATCACCACACTAAGTCCAGTTAACATCTACCACCACGCATGATTGTAAAATTTTCTTGTGATAAAAATTTTAAGGTCTAATCTCTTAGTAAATTTCAAATATGCAGTGCAGTATTAGGAACTGTAGTCACTATGTTCTACATTACATCTCCATTTCTCTCTCTCTCTTCTCCTTCTGGGACCCCTGTCATGCAAATGTTTACTTGATGTTATCCTATAAAAATCCCTTAATTTAGGTTCACTATTTTTCCATTCTTTTTAATTAATTAATTTATTATTTACTTACTTATTTTTTGCTGTTCTGGTTGGTGAGTTCCTATGCCCTGTGTTCGAGTTCACTGAACCTTTCTTCTGTTTCATGCTATTTAATCCCTCTTGTGTATTTTTCAGTTCAGCTATTTAATTCTTTAGCACTAACTTTCATTTCGTACTTTCTAATATTATCCCTTTGTTGAAGTTTTCACTTTTTTATCCATTCTTCTGAGTTTTGTGATCATATTTAAGATTATTAATTTCAGCTCTTTATCAGGTAAGTTACTATCTCCATTTTATTTGACTCTCTTGGTTTCTATGCATTAGATGAAACAACCATCTCTCCCCGTCTTGAATGGTTGGCCTTATACAGGAGCCGAACCTTAAAACTCAACCCTGCCCTAGCTTTTGGCTGTCTGTTAAGATTATTTTTAATGTTTATTTTTTAGAGAGAGAGGGAAAGCAGGAGAGGGGCAGAGAGAGAGAGAGAGGGACAGATGATCTGAAGCAGGCTCTGCACTGACAGCAGTGAGCCCAAGCCCAATGTGGGATTCAAACTTAACAAACTGTGAGATCATGACCTGAGCCAAAGTCGGATGCTCAACCAACTGAGCCACTCAGGCACCCTCTATTTTATTTTTAATAGATCCCTGTAGTTGGGGTATTCCAAATAGTTATACAAAGCAAGGGAGAGCCTCCATCAGCACCTAGGTTCAGGCTGATAAACCAGAGCCTTAGTTAGGCAGTAGCTTTAAGAAAAAAATTTTTTTAAACGTTTATTTATTTTTGAGATAGAGAGACAGAGCATGAACGGGGGAGGGTCAGAGAGAGGGAGACACAGAATCTGAAACAGGCTCCAGGCTCTGAGTTGTCAGCACAGGGCCGATGCAAGGCCTGAACTCAGGGATGGCGAGATCATGACCTGAGCCGAAGTCGGCCACTTAACTGACTGAGCCACCCAGGCACCCCAGGCAGTAGCTTTTTAAAGAATACAAATAAATACAGTCCAGTGGGACCACAGATGTGAGACCCACCAGCCATCAGAGCCAGGCAATCTGGATGTGTTGCCTGCATGGCAGTTGTGAAAATTGTAGCACCAGACAAGTTTATTAGCTCCTTTCTGGGAGACTCCACAAGCTGTGAAGCAGAGGGAGAATGCAAAGACCACATCCTCTGGCCTACATTCCCTGAAAGCACATCTGTATGCTCCAGATGTGTGCCAAACCTGAAATCTTTCCCTAAGGCCGAAGCTCCGGGACAAGCAAGTCTGCCTTTTTTTTTGACAGAATGGGGCTGTGTTTCAGTCTGCTGTGTGCTGTGCCACGAAATACCTGTGCCACCAAGTCTCTGGTTAGTGCATTTCTGGGAGACTCCAGAACTCCAGCACTGCTGCTACCAGAGCCAGGCATTCAAGGGTTATCCTCTTGGTTGCAGCTGCAAAAATCAGGGCACCAGACACATGTAAGAGGCCCCCTCTAAGAGATGCTGATGCTCTGAAGTGCAGCAGAGAGAGAACCAGAGATAGTGCATGGCCCTCTGAGGGCCCAGGAAAGGTTTACAGTCAGCCCGTAAATGTGTTTAATTAGAGGCCTGCCTCTCAGATTGCAATGATGACAAACTATTAGGCCTCTTTTACAAAAAGACTGAGCTCCTAGTTGTTACCTGTTGCTATGCCAAAGAGGTGGTATCTGTTTAAGAATTATTTTTCTGTGTGTTACAGTCCTGTGGCATTTGTGAGCATTGACTCCACTGGCCAGCAGAGCCAGGTGATGTGGAGGTGTCCCCTGGAAGCAGCTGTACAAATCAAGGCACCAGAACTTAAGTTCCTTTCTTGAAGATAAGGGCAAGTTTAAGCAAGGCAGATGGAGAATGTAAATACTGCATCCACTGAGCAATTCTCTGGATATCTATAAATGTGCCAAATCAGAAGCCTTAGGTCACACCCTCTGGTCAGAGCTCCTGGACAAGCAAATAGGCCTCTTTCTCCATTTGGGACTGGGTTTCAGTCTGCTATCAATTCTCTCCCAGGGGAGTGCCAGTCTGCCAAGAACTGCCTCTCTGATTGTTGTGTTCCTGGGTCCCTTAAGATGATAAGCTCCTTGTTCTTGAGAGCCAGGTGATCAAGGGGTGTTTCCTGAGTGGCAGACACAAAAACTGGGTCACCAGACATAAAAACCGGGATACCAGACATGGGTAAAAGCTCTCCTTTAGGAGATACTGGTGTTCTAGAGCACAACAGAGAGAGAGATCAGGAAGAATTCACCCACCGGCCTTCTTCCCTAGAGAGTATTCCCGTAGGCCCCTGCCTCTCAGATCAATGCTTTAACATTAGCAAATGAGTCTCTTTGACATAAAGTCTGGGCACCTTTCAAAGAACTGTTTCTGTGCTGGGCCCTGGGGCAGGTGAGTCGGCACATGAACCTTTTAAGAACCATCAGTCTGATGGGTATGAACCCTATTGGTCTTCAAAGCCAGATGTTTTGGGGACTCCTCTGTCAGGTGGCAGTCTTAAAAGTGGGATACCCAATGTGGGATCAAACGCTCTGCTTCTCTGGGAGAAGCTCCAGCTTTTGAATCCCCTTCTGATTATGGATTGGGGGTGGGTTTATCATAAGATTGTCTCAGTCTTTCCTATATACTTTGATATGGTTTTTCCCATGTTTGCCAGATGTGAAGAGCTCATGCCGCCAGGTTTTAGGGTTTTTTTTTTCCAGAGGAAATTATTCCATAGATATAGCTATAGATATAGTATGTCCATGTTAGGTGAGTGTAGGATCTTCTTCCTACGTCACTATCTTGAATTGGAACCGTTTTTTATTTTCTTTCCCTACTAGAGTTAACATTTATATCAAATAAATTATAAAGTAAAACTACAAAGAAACAAAAATATTTAACACTCACAGAGACACAATTTTGTAAAGAGGAAAGTTAACCATAATTAGCATAAGTACAATAAATTATATCTGTTGATATTTTAGGGGAAAGTATTACCAGAAGAAACACAAAAATACTTTTAAAATACAGCATCATTGCCACAGCACATGGAAACATTGCCATAAAAAAATTAACGATTTTTGCTTAATTTTTCAGCCCTCTTTGAATTTATATTCTGAAATTTGATGTTCTACTGCAATTCCACTTGCATGGAGTATCTTTTCCATCTCTTCAAGTTTTACATGCATCCTTAAAGCTGAAGTGTATCCATTGTTGGTACCAAATACTTGGGTCTTAGTTTTTATCCAGCCAGCCAGAGTGCCTTTTGATTGGTGAATTCAAACCACTTATGTTTAGAGTGATTTTTTAGTAAGTCCTTAACCATTAATAGCTTTTATATTTCTATTATTTCTTTTTACCTCTCTTTCTGCCTACCTTTGTAAATTGGTTATTTTTCATGGTGGTATGTTCTGTTTCCTCCTTTGTCAATTTGCTGTGGGTTTTGTCTTATTATTGATGTTCCAATTGACCTCCTGTTTTTTCTTTAACAACTTATTGTTGCTGTATTTATTTTTCCTGCTTTTCCTCTGACTTTTATACTGTAGTTGAAGAGTTGACACACCATCCTAATATAGAGTTACAGTTTTCTAAGGTATATTTTTACTTTTACCTAGTGTGTTGTGTACTTTTGAATGTTTTTATGTGGCTTATTAGCATGTCTTCGTTTTAGCTTGAAGAACTCTTTATCAGGTTGCTTGCAATGCAGATTTAGTTGTGGTGAACTTTATTTCATTGGTCTGGGAAAGCCTTTATTTCCTCTTCATATCTGAAAGGAAAGTTTGCCAGATTAAATATTCTTGGCTGACAATTTTTTGTCTTTCAACACTTCAAATATGTTGGCATGCTCTCTCCTAGCCAGTAGATGTTCTGCAGAGAAATACACTGATAGCCTAATGGGAATTCCTACGTAAGTTACATTTTTTTTTAATTGGATGTCTTTAATATTTTTTATTATTTGTGACAGTTATGTCTTATAGAAGGTCATTGGGTATTGAGATAAAAGGGTGATCTATTAGTTGGTAGACTTGGACATACATAACTTTCCTCAGGTTTGGGAAGTTCTCAGCTTTTTAAAAATTTATTTATAAACTCTGCCCCCTTCTCTGTCTCTTCTTCTGAAATCCTGATTTATTCTGATATTTGCCTTCTTTATGGATAATCACCACTCACATAGGCTTTCTTCACTTTTTTTTAACTCTAATTTCTCTCTTTTGTGTTATTTCAAAATTCTTATTCTCCGCGTCAATTATTCTTTCTTCTATGTGATGGGCCTTGTTATATATGCTCTCTGTTTTATTGAATTATCAGCTCCAGAATTTGTTCTGTTTCTATAATTTCATTCTCTTTGGTAAAAAAAAAAAAAGAAAACTCATTTTGTTTGTATTTTTAATTCCTGACTTCATTGAATTGTCTTTCTGAATTTTCTTAGAACTTGTTGAGTTTCTTCATTATAGCTATCTTAAATTCTTTATCAGTTAGACCAGAATACCCTGTGCCTGTGAGCTTGATTGCTGAAGAATATAATTTTCTCTTAGTAATGCCCTATTTCCTTGAATTTTCATAACCTTTGTAGATATTTATTGGTGCTTTCACATTTGAAGTAGAAGATACCTCCTTAATTCTGCTTACTGTCTTCAGATGGGGTATTATGTTCTATAGTATTGTTACCATATTTTTCCTCTGTGTTTTTGAAGAAACCTTCTCGTCATCTTGTTCCTCCTTTGGGGCAGTTTTCTAAAGCTTTTAGGTTTTCTCTGGTTCTTATACTTTACCAGACTACAAGCATTTCTTTTGTTTTCTAGAAGGTGGCACTATAGCTCAAGTTTGTGCTGTCTACTAGAGACTACTCTCACGGTGGCACTTGAGAATCCTGCACAAGGAACTAACAGACCTCGAGGGGAGGTGTGGGTTTAGCACTGGGTGCTCCCACAGACCCAGTAGGATGATCCCAGGAGTGGTACTTCTTGTTAAGCACAGTCCTTCTCACACCATTTGAAATTCTTACCAGCTTCTTTTCCAGTATCCTCCCAACTTCCAGTTATAGAGCTCCCACCTTAGTACTCCATGTGCTGAGGCAGAAAATGGATTTCTCTAGTTGCCATAAGTAGGCAGTCACTGATTTCTTTTCCCTTGCAGGAGAGGTCACTGCCACCAGATAAATCAGCACCCTTCAGTGTTTTCTTAGCCTGGAACGTTTCTCTTACTGCTTCTTCTGCAACCACACTCCTATATTTTTCCCTTTAGGGTAGTGTGCTAGAGTCTGCCTTAGGGAAGTCTAGACTCAGGAGCATGTTCTCTCTCTGATGTGTGAGTGCCTGTTCAGATCTGCACTCACCCGATTTTTGTCCCGTAGTGGCAAGAGGGGTCTAGGCAGTTTGGCTACCTTCTCTGGTTCCCCAGCTCTTACAGAGGTTGGTTTGTCTCTTACTGGCTGCACTGGTGGGTGAGACTCCTGCCAGGTTCTTTGGAGTAAGGTGATAGGTCTGAAAACACCCACGAGGGTGCTTTGGTTTATGTATGAATGTCAAATCTTTTGATTAAAAAGGGGGATAAGTAGGAGAAACATTTTATGCCAGCATGTTGCTGACCTCACCAGGACTGTCAGATATTCACTTTAGAATGTTCACTTTGGCTGCAGGGTGGAGAAGAGCTGGAGAGGTCAGAAGTAGAAGCCTGAAATGAAGAAACATTCATGATTCTTACTCCATAATCTAAAGCATTGCATTTCATTTTATTTATAGTATTCTATCATTTATAAAGTTATTTTAGCATTGGTCTAATAGGATTTTCCCATTGAATGAGAAATAGTAACTAGGTTACATCATTAAACCTACAAAGTGATATTATAATTAAAAAGTTTGAAATATATGAGGGAAAATGAAAATATTATATATTTATCAATAATGGCTTTTTTAATTACTGTAAATATATTGAGCTATACTTTACAAAAGAAGGAAGGATGTCATTTGTATCTGACATAGGCTGTTTGCTTAATATGGTACCCTTTATTTATAAAATGAAAACTTAGAAAATATAACATTCCATCTAAAGGGAGAATTACCCAAGGTAACATTACATAAGAATACCTATATCCTTACCAATCTGCTTTCATTGAAGTTAAAAAGCAAATACCAGAGCTACTGAAAACTATGACTATCCTAGCAATACTTACAACACACAGAATTGAATTTGATCTTAATGATAAAACTTCCTATTAATAAAATTAAACTTCTGTGACAATTGTTAGCACTGATTTATGTAAAATTCATTTTACTTTAATTGGGTAATTGAAAACAAAGGCACTTTATATTGCAGTAGCATAGAAATTTATTTTTATTTTTACATAGAGAGCGAGAAGCTCAAGCAGACCCCATGCTCACTCAGCATGGAGCCCAATGTGTAGCTTGACCCCATCACCCTGGGATCATAGCCTGAGCCAAAATCAAGAGTTGGATGCTCAACTGGCCAACCCACCCAGACACCCCCTAGAAGTTTCTAATTACATGCATGCTTCATAGAGACCAAACCCTAAAGTTAAGATAAACATTTTGATGTTATTCGATTGTCATAAAGATGTTTAAGGACTACTGATAAGTCAGTAAAATTAGTAATGAAAGTGAAAATTTTCACATTATTTGATACTCACATCTTAAGTACTAGTTGGAAGTAGCATTCAAAATGGTTTTGCTAGCCATAATTAGTTTTTTTAAATTTGTATATAAGTAATGTTTTTCAGTTTAGAAATTGATCTGTGCACAGTATTTAAAAAATACTTTTGGTTACTGCTTTCTACAATTATGGTTGAGATCTATCTATAAACCATTATCAACAAGCATTCATAGTACTAGCACATATTATTTTTTCAGTAATTTTGGAATAAATCCTTTGAGTAATAATACACATATGTAGATTATTTTGTGAAATATTGTTTTAATGATAGAAGACTTTGTCATTTAAAGATACCTGCTATTAGGATGCTTGGGTGACTCAGTCGGTTAAGCATCCGACCCTTGATCTCTGCTCAAGTCATGATCTCATAGTTTATGAGTTTGACACCCTTGTGGGGCTCTGCACTGATGGCGTGGAGACTGCCTGGGATTCTCTCCCCCACTCTGTCTCTCAAAATAAATAAACTTTAAAAAGATATTTTCTATTGACTCCATTTAAATGTAAACTTAGTTGGTCATACCTGGGAACAGAATCCATCCAGATTTTTCTGGACCATATTCTTTTAAAGAAACCTATGTCTGGATGTAGAATATATCCCTATTCTTTATAAGAAATATAGGAAGACATAGTGGATGGTGGTCGGACATTTGGGTTCTGAATTCAGATTGCCCATTTTGACTCCAAGTGTCTGACTCACTTAGTAACTACTTTAGAGAGTCATGAGAATGGAGGTAAAAAGTATAAACTGTTGAGCATATTATTTCACAGTAACAACATTGACTAAGAGCTTTCTCCCTTAGAATTCTCTGTGGACTACTTATTGAACATAAACGTTATCTTAAATTAATGAAAGTATATTCCACGTTTTAATAACCTTTTTTACATTATAAATAATTTCTCTAATCAATTTTTTGTTTTAGGTCACTTTTCACATCGAGCCATATAGCAATCGGGATGATCAAAGCATGTACAAAAATGTCAAATATATTATAGACAAGTGAGTTTCTTCTGTGTTTATAATTATTTTTTATGAGCCAGTGATAAGTACAGTTATAAGAAGAGTAAATTTAAATGTATTTGAGAGATTTGAATGAGTTATGATCTGATACATTAAAACTAATCATTTTGAGGAATATTTATGAAATTCCTTATAATTCACTTTCTGTGTAAATTGTTCACTTATACTGTTTGTGTTTATTAAGCTGTTTATGATTTCTCATATCATATAAATGATATAAAATATTTTAAATTGATGTTATTAAACCACAAATATTGTTTTGTCTAATTGTGAAACATGAACTGCTTCTCTATCAGTGGACTCACATCTAATATTTATATTTAATCTGATTATAAGGAAACATTTATTAATTTTGTTCAAGGATTTTACTGGTGAGAACTGTGACAGATTCTATATACTCTTAAAAAGAAACTCATCACCAACAGGGAGACATTGATTAGTAGGAAGAAGTTGACATATTCATATAGAAAATGGGCTTTTTATGGTATTGGTCATTATTTATAAATCTCAATATAAGATAATTTGTTGTTAGGTTATGTCTTGATGTATCCAGTATCTCATTTTTCTAATCTGCAAAATTGAAAATACTTTTTTAATCATTACCTATAATACAACTGATCCCCCTCAAAGAAAGTGAACAATGTGCTTATTAAACTGCATGCATTACCTTCATTTTCAATATAGAAACAGTTATGGTCTATGGAAAATGAGTTGCAGATATTCATTTCATTTTTACATATTTTTGTATTTTAGGTATGGAAGTCATCCAGCCTTTTATAGGTACAAGACTAAGACTGGCAATGCCCTTCCTATGTTTTATATCTATGATTCCTATATCACAAAGCCTGAAAAATGGGCCAATCTGTTAACCACCACAGGGTCTCAAAGCATTCGCAACTCTCCTTATGATGGACTGTTCATTGCACTTCTAGTAGAAAGCAAACATAGGTATGATATTCTACAAGGTGGTTTTGATGGAATTTACACATATTTTGCCACAAACGGCTTTACTTACGGCTCATCCTATGAGAACTGGGCAGGGCTAAAATTTTTTTGTGATCAGTTCAACCTACTGTTTATCCCAAGTGTGGGCCCAGGATACATAGACACCAGCATCCGTCCGTGGAACGCTCAAAATACTCGGAACCGAATCAGCGGGAAGTACTATGAAACTGCCCTGGGTGCCGCACTCCATGCCCACCCCAGTGTAATTTCCATCACCTCTTTTAATGAGTGGCACGAAGGAACTCAGATTGAAAAAGCTGTTCCCAAAAGAACCAGTAATACAGTATACCTAGATTACCGACCTCATAAACCAAGTCTTTATCTAGAACTAACTCGCAAGTGGTCTGAAAAATACAGTAAGGAAAGAGCTGCTTATGCCTTCGATCATGAGCTGCCTCTTTCTTAATGCATTTATAAATCTAGAAATCAATAAATATTTTTTGTCTTAGGAATAACTGTCAGTCAGTATACACTGATACACTTAATGAAAAGAATTTGTTCTTTTTTAAAAATGGTAATGTCATCATTGCCACCCTTCACAATGCTGCACTGAAAAAATGAGAGAAAAGTGCACAATGTTCTGAATTTGCAGTTGAAATTCTACTTTGATACTTTCATTTCACAGTAAATGCTTGTGTTACATAATTAGTGCACAGTTACATCAAACTTGTATTCTGGGCCCAAAGAAATAGATTGTGTGCATATTTGGTGTGTCTACTGAGGAAAATAAGGCTTAAACGATAGTGTACGTGTTTCATGGAGAATTTTTTCAGTGATTCAGTCATCCAGAGTTTGAACACTAAAGTCTCCAATAAAAATACTTAAGGGAATGTAATCATAACATCAGTCTTACTGTGA